ATTGTGCCGATTTGTTGGAATTCGACACACATTCTCTCATTTACTGTGCTTGTGTGGACGCTGGCGTGGTCACCAATAGACTCAGGGAAAGGACAAACCCTTGCCCAGCGTTGAAGACGCTTAAACAGGTCAGGTCAGGTCTCAAGACCCTTGACCACACATTTCGCTGATCCTCAGCAATCACGGAAGGAGCTTCGCTACTTCGGTGACATGATCCATTGACCACTTACGTGGCAAACACTCGTTCTCACGACACGTGTGACACTCCCTTGAACGAGGCCTTCGAACCGCGTTCTCGGCGCCCGCCAGTCGACCGAGGCGCCTCTCGCGGCACGTGGCGCGTCTGGCGCGTCTGGCGCTCGGAAGTCACGGCGCTAGGAGTGCACTCCAAGCGACGTGTTGAGCGAGTCCATTTCAGCGCTGTAACACGGTCCGAATTTCGGGGTGTCGTGGCAGCCATGCCGCTAACAGCTTGAGCCTTGCCGAATTCCCGGTCTTCGTCGCAGCCCCCACTGTTGGTCGTTCTTCATTAATCGCGCAGTGTCCATTTTGCATGGCTTGGGGAAATGGCTTGTGTAGCTGAACTAGGGTGACCGATCCCTGTGAACGACCCCCTGAATAATGAATTCGGAAAATAGACCAGTCTACCCAGCCAGGGGCGAGATTTCGGGGGTCTCCCTATTGACCAGTGAACGTAGAATACTTGCGCCAGTCTTGTTGCCGGTGCGCCTTTGTGTGCCTATCAGCCCTACTTAGCTAAGCGAATTGAAATCCATGCTCCGTCCGGCCACTGTTGTGAGGTCAGACCTCTCACCTTTCTCCTGCCTGTAAAAAAAGCAGGTGAGACATGGTGAGACCTACATGAATCCATCAAAATCCGGCTAAAAGATGCTTATCAAGGATAAGCTTCGAACTTCAACTCTGCGATTCCCATTTGATCTCCATCCACCTAAACTTGGCCTCGGGCTCCACCACGGCTGCAAAGCTGGCTGCGCAGCGCCGATAGGCGCGGCCGATAGGTTTTTGGACATCCTCAACAACAGCAAGAATTGCTCAGCTTCTTTGCATTTTGCAAAGGCGTAGGTTGCCAAGCAGTGACGCAGACCTTTAAGGATACCTGGCTACTACGCAAAGACAGTGTCCAAGTTGTGTTGCAGCAGAAGCTGATAGCTTTTGCGCCTGGCAACGGGCTGAAGCCCCATAAGACAAGACTGGCACATCGCGTGGAGCAAAATGTCTTGCGCTTGTACAGCATGCTGGTGTGTGTGTGTCCCACCCTGTACCAAAGGGTCCCACTCGGTTCAGGTTTTGCTTCCAGCAGGGGGATGCCAGGGATTTCCATGGTCGGCATCCAACGAAGACACCATGGATTTCCTGTGATTTGAGAATCTTCCGAAAAGGCCTACTGCAGCCGCCATGTCGAATTTTTGTTGCGGCTGAAGTTCAAACATGTTCAATTGCGTTGACCTTTCACTCTACTGTTCCATCGAGTCAAGGGCCTTGCACCGCGGACCATCTTTTGGATTATCGTTCGTAATGAACCTCTATCGAAGTGTGTTCTGCTACGCTTTCCCCCTTGGGCATAGTGTGACCCCCCGCAAGGGGCGCTGAGACCATCGGGACGCTCCATACTCAAGAAGCTTTCTGATTGCTTAGCGCATTTTTCACGGATCAACTGCTTTTGAGCCTCCGGGCCTTCGGAGAATACCATTTCCGCAACTGCAAGAATGCAATTACCTTCCGAGCTGTTTCCAAATTCCTCCATTGCTTTTTTTAGCAATCGTAAAGCTGCTGCAGTTTCAGAATTCAGCACGTTCACGTTTTTCCAGGGAATCTTCGACTTGAGATGCGCATGCCACTATACCGATCTTTCTCTCTTGTCTTTTTGCTCTTTCGGTCTTTTTCTTTCGTCAGGTTTTTGACACCGTAATTTGCCGTTGCCTCGGCACCTTTGCTCGCCCGATGTCACTACACCTATCTTTCTCTCTTGCCCTCTTCCTTTGCTCTTTCTCTCCTCTTTCTCTCTTCTTCTACAGGCTTTTTTAGGTGGCTATTCAAGTATCTGAGATTGGAGCGCCGCACTGCGCCGTGTGCGTGTGTGTGTCCCACCCTGTACCAAAGGGTCCCACTCGGTTCAGGCTTTGCTTGCCAGGAATTTCCATGGTCGGCACGCAACGGAGACGCCATGGATTTCCTGTGATATGAGCCAAGGACGTTTGACTCACATACGTTCTCAAGCTGTTCACCCCAATCTTCCGTAAAGGTCTACTGCAGCCGCCATGTCGAATTTTTGTTGCCGCTGATGTTCAAAAAAAATTCATTTGCGCTGACCTTTCACTTTACCGTTCCATCGAGTCAAGGGCCTTGCACCGCGTACCATGTTTTGGATTATCGTTCGGAATGAACCTCTATCGAAGTGTGTCACCGCCTGTTTCAAAGGAATGACCGCACTTGTACTGTATGCAGGGGGATGCCCCACACCTGCAGAGAGGGCATCTAACACTTCAGGTTGTGCTGATATCAGCAAGAACGCTTATACTGAGTACCTGCACCAATTTTCAAGTATATCGTAAAGGGCTAATGCGTGTTGTTGAAACCTTCTGGTTGATTGACCCAGCACTTTTTGTTGCTGTTGAATGAAGTCAAGCGCTAAGTATTCACCTAAAGTGCTAGCTTCACATGGAAGTCAAAACTGATATAGCTCTTGCGAGCATGGATCTCAGTGTGTCCACGTCAGTGCTTGGTTGTTTTGCTCGTTTCTCTCCTGGCCAGCTGTTTGCTCGAGATCGCTGATACCAAGCTGCAGAACGTACTGAATCCACCTCAGAGAATGACATGCCTTTCACTCGTCTAAGTATTCTTTTGCAGAGACCATGCTGCTAAGTATTCAGTGCTGTCTTACTTTTCCTCCTTCGGTTTCTCTTCGTTTTCTAGGTCTTTCTTCGTTTCTAAGGGCTTTGTATGTGTAACTGGTGCTTTTTAGAGAAGGGAGCGCCGGTTTTGGCGTTCTGGTCAAATGCCTTCGGGCCTGAGCCGGTCACCCCACTCCACCGCACACACACCCCTGCACCCCCTTTCTTCCCTTGCCTTTTTCGTTTGTTTGGTCTTTCCTTCAAGCTTGTTAGGTCGACTTTTAGGCTTGTTTAGTCATTGCACACCCCCACAACCCCCCCCGCGCTTTCTTTCTTTCCTGCTGTTGTTTCTCTTTGTTGGTTTTTCATGGTTTTTCGTTCTAAAGGTTTTTTTTAGGTTTGTAACCAGGTTCAGTCAAGTGCCCGCCATTGTTCACCAGAGCGCCGAATTCGGCATCTTGATTGTGTGTGGCACCTCCTGTTTCAAAGGAATGACCACACTTGTACTGTATGCAGGGGGGATGCCCCACACCGGAAGAGAGGGCATCTAACAAAGAAACTCTTCAGGTTGTGCTGATATCGGCAAGGACGCTTATACTGACGTACCTGCATCAATTTTCAAATATATCGTAAAGGGCTAATGCGTGTTGTTGAAACCTTCTGGTTGATTGACCCAGCACTTTTTGTTGCTGTTGAATGAAGTCAAGCGCTAAGTATTCACCTAAAGTGCTAGCTTCACATGGAAGTCATAACTGATATAGCTCTTGCGGGCACGGATTTGATGTAAGCGTGTGTTGTAGGCACAAATAAAAATAGACCATAACATAGCACTCAAATAATAAACCATAACACAGCACTCAAATGTCGGACACGTCGACCTGAGTGATGAGATGAGTCGGTGAGTCGGCACGGCGCAGCCTCCTCTCCTCCGGGTTTGTTGGTGTTTGAGGGTCTCTCGACCAGGTGCTCGGCAGTGCTCCGCTTCTCCCTGTGGAGATCAACTTCCATCGACGCTTGGCCACCCTGGGTTTAGTCGACACCTCTCCCGCTTCTTCAGCCCGGATGCAAGCCAGGGATACAAGAAACTGATTGAGGACCTTCAGTCCCTGACCTGTTTGGAGTGTCTAAGTGACCTCTTCAGGGACCAAGTGACCTCAATCTGAGATCTCAAGTTCGGTCACGTTGAAGGTCCTGGCAGTCCAGATCTCGATGTACTGAACGTGTCTTGGACATAATATGAGAAGGAAGGGGACTCTTCACTGGGCTATTGAGAGGAGAGACATGGAAAGACCCGAACCAGAGAATCTTTGCCACAACCAGAGGAAGTAGGATATAGGAAGACTCTCACGAAGCACTAATCTGACCTGAAATGTTCATCACCGTCGGAGGCGACTCGACGACCCACTCCACTGAGGTGATGAAGCGCCATGTTTTAACCATCCCACAACGCAAAAACCAATGAATCCGGACAATGAGCCGAAACCACCAATGGTTCCATGGTTTCGTGGAGTTCATCCCGTGCTTGGTCAGTCTTCCTTCATGATCATCCGAGTCGACTCGGGGCACCGTCCACTTCGATGGAGCGAGTGTATCAATCAGCCCTCACAACAGATGCTTTCAAGGATCGTGCGTCGCTGTGGCCGTTGCGGCGGCAAACGCAGGCTCGGTCGACGGAGATCACCCGGGCATGACCCAGTGGGACCATATTTGGGGAGGTTAGTGAGCCCAAATACTTTGGCAAATCAACTGACCCATATTAGCCCTGCGGACTTGGGTGCATGTATGTGCATCTATTATTGCATGTGTGCTTTTTTTTTGCACCTCGAAGGGGGATCTTTCTTTCAGATTTTTACAGAACCTGTTTGGTTGCTGCTGTGGCTCAAGGTGGTCTGCCTCGAGGGGAGGTGACAGAACGCCACACCCATCGATCGTCGCCTCATCGCCTTGCCTCGCCATGGACGAGAGCGATGATCTCTTCTTGGACGAGGGTCCGGCCGAACGCCGTAGACAGGAAAAGATGCACTTTGGAAGCCGATTCTGAAGAAGATGGACACATTCACTCGATACACTGCACTGTACAATCACTTTGTAAAGAAACGTAATTACATGGTTCATACGTGGATTGCTGATGGAGACATTGGACGAAAAGCGACAAAGTCACTGGCAGTTAGCAGTTGCACTGTCCAGATCGCATCGATTTCCAGATCCCATCACTCTTCTTGGTGAACTTTGTTCTTGGCTTATCACAGCTCATGCCGAGCTTAGGCATCGCAGAGCCTACTTGGAGCTTTTCTTGAAAACGCACGGGTTTAAAGATGTGCATCGTGCTCGGCCAGGGCAGGGTTTCTTGGAACGAACTGCTTAGGCCCACGACAGCCAGAGAATGTGTTCGGAACATATATTGTTCAGGCTGTTCTCCAGCTGTGCCAGACGGACATAAAAGAGACAAACACAAGCTGCTTGTGTTTGTCTCTTCCTTGTCCTCTTAAGCCCGGAGAATTCATGGATTTCACAACTGGAGACAGTTCATGACGCAGGTGACGGTTGCTCGGTTGGACGTTTTGCTGTTCACCCTTTGGCGACCTGGAATCCCTCAGGTTGCCTTTCGAACCGTGAATCCGTCTACCCGATCCATGTCGCTGCCAAGTATGCTGATGTGGAACCTTGCTCGGAGAATCGGGGCGAATGGTCACCTGCAAGACGGGATGCGAGTGGTTGGACGTTGGATCCATGGTATGCTTTGTTCTTCAATCCTAGCGGTCGCTGGTGTTCTTAAGCAGCTTGAGATAGACCCTTCCACCCTTCCACCCTTTCCTAGTCAACTGATTCATGGCTTTTGAAGATTGCTCAATTCAATACATATGCCACATGTTTAAGCAAAAGGAGTGTCTAGAGGTGAAGACAGTTCAGGGAGCGCTTCTTTAAAGCTTATTAGATCCTGATAGTCTTCCAGGCCCCGTAACTCGGGCGGAGCTTACGCCCGAGTAGAGAGTTCCCATGACCCCCGACGTTTTGATATTGAAGTCGGACCATAAATACAGGTCAATTCAGGTACTTGGAGCTTAAGTTCTTGGAGGTGCTTGGAGGTCATTCAGCTTCTAGCTAGCTAGATATGTAGTGTGACTGGAAGAAAGCTCAATAAAGTACAAGTTTAGAGACTGGTGATGCCATACCACGTCATACCCCTCAATCCGGGTCAGGGGGCCGCCGGAATACAATCCATCTACAGAGGAGGCTTAGTTCATGACTTGGATGGAAAGTGGGTAGCAATATATGCATGATGAAGCTTTGGCCTTGGAATTTCCTTGAGAGTTAAACTCCTGGTAGCCCTGACACCAGGCAAACAGATACTCTTTCACTTTTTTGGGGTTGAGCAACCTGCCCAGCGGCTGAAAAAGTGGAACAAAAACAAAATAAGCAGAGATACCATCTCAGGAGTTGCTACGGATGCTCTTGGCGAAGAAGGTCGACCTTTTCAAGGAGACCTCCGCTGGCCGCACCGCCTACGAGATCGCGGCGCAAGCCAATCGACAGGGCTCACACGACGAGGCTCTGCGAAGAACGGGTCGAAGAAGACCCTAAAGCGAAGATGACAAGATGACGGGTGCCACCAAAAGAAGCACACATGGTATCCGAAAGCTTTTGGGGTGGTTGTTTCAAGATCACCTTGATAAAAAGGGTTTCCAAACTGGAACCTGGTCTTCGAAATCCCGCCTTGGGCGGGTGTATCAACCCTCTGTGATGCGAAGGCGTGAAGAGGGTCACCCGGGTGACCCTTCCGCTGCACATGGCGAAGAGGTGCTTCACTATCTCGGCGAAGAGGTGAAAGTCCTAACAATGCGAGAGGCCATCCAAGTGATGATTCTTGGGATTGGACATCCAGACCGAACCTGGAGTTCTTGTGGTGCATCTTTGAATCCATAGGGTTTAGGGTGTTCACCTGCGACCCAAATATACCCAAACTCCTCAATGTCAAAGCACCTCAATACGTGGGGTGCTAATATATATATATATTATACTGATTCTCCAATTGGTCAAATTTAGATGTTGTGCCGGCCATTTCTGTCAGAGGTAGTCAGCGGCTTACCCAAACTCCTCACTGCAGTCACTGGACACGGGACTTTTGTTCTTCCTGCTGGTTCCATCAGCCCGGTCGAAACGGACCATTTGGCTGATGGAACCAACAGTTGAAACAACAAGCCAACTGAGACTAAGATGTTGATGAAAAGTAGGACAGGTGGATCGAGCCCGCATCCTCAGAAGCTAGTTAGACCCTCCAAATCCACCCCCACCACCCCCACCACCTAAGGATGTGGTTGGAGCTCACTTTGGAGGGGTACTGCAGTAACCCCTTTTGTCGCTCTTGACATCTCCCACCAAGGAAGCACAGGTGCAAGGGCACTTCTGAAGCTCTATCCGAAGAGAAGCCGCTGGCGCTTGGAAGTTCAACTTCGTCCCCGTCATCTGAAGAGAAGTCACCTGAAGAGATCCTACCCATTGCACTCTCAGGGGAAGAGATTCGTTCCATCTGAGCATCAGCTGGCCGCGGCCGTGGGATCTGAGCCCTGGATCTCCGGCCAGCTCGAGGAGAAGTGGAGTTGAAGAATCTTTGAAGACAATTTGGTTGGATTTTTGAGTTGGTTGGGGACTGAAGGAGTCCAGCTCGATTGCTCCGCCTGAAACGGACCACTTGGGTTCACAAGTAGGCAGTTTCAAAGCTCTGTCAGCGTCGTTTCCTGGATGTTCGGCTTATTTGCATTTAGTAACTCATGTCTTGCCAGGAAGACTCTTAGGCTGCATGACAAGGAAGCTTGTCAAGCAGAGACTGCATGGAAAAAAGAGGCAGAATCGGACCCCTCGCGCGATGAGAAGTGGAGCCGGTGCTTTACTAGTAGTAACAAGTGCCACGCTACTAGAAACTAGTGCATCGCTACTAGTAACAAGTGCATCGCTTCTAGTAACAAGTGCCTTACTAGTAGTAACAATGTCCTTGCAGACACTTCACATTCGAAACAGGTCAAAACCGTCGTCCAGACAGGTCGGTCAAGCACGTGTCTTGCGGTCGGAGGGTCTCCGGTTGCCGACCCGGTTTTCTCTTCGCTGTGTCACAAGGGTCCAGGAGGTGTTCGAGACTCAGCGCTCTGCCTGCGAAGCACAGGCGAAACACCTCGAGCTTCATGTTCGGAATGGACCAGAGTAGTAGGCTGTGCCCAAACAGGAAGCCGCTTCAGCCGTCGCCATGCAACGCGCACTCAATAATCCTCGTTTCGGTTGGGTGAAGGTCGTCAGGGTTACCAGAGTCGCTAGATACCCTGCAGTTCGTTCCTCTGTCATTAATCTTGACAACTTCTTTGACTAGACATAAAGCTTGCATGAGTTTCTTCGATGAGATGAAACGTAACAGAGCTCGTTTGCCCCCAAATATTTCCCCAGTCAAGCGCTTTTGTGCATCAAGATTGGTCCTTTCAGTGTTGAAATCGCTGCCTTGAGAGCGAAGCTGCAGTCATTTGGGCAAAAAAAAAGGAGAGTCACATGGAAGATTCCGCAAGCCTATGGCCTATAGCCTATGGCTCAACATGACTCCAAAAAAAAGCGTGAAACCCGACAGATGACCGATACATTCCCAGACCATCCATGGGACTGGAATAGTTGTACATGTTACGCCATTTATGACCCCAATGTAGGTATAACTATTCCAGACATGGGTGCTTTGGGATTGAACAGACGGCCAGGTGGTTTTGTAGTTTCTAGAATTCACTCCCACTGACCGCTTGGAGAGCCCATTGGGCACCAAAAAGATGAAACAAGTTCATGAAAGAACTCAGTCAGCCGTTAGAGGTCTTCATCATAAGGAGAGTTGATCGACAATTCGACAATTGATGTTGAACAGGATCAGCTACAATATATGGATTCGGTAGTGTGTTTGCTTTATTCCAGTCCAACTATACTGAGTCTCAACTTCGGACCTTTATTCAGAGATGTGTAAGCAGAGTACGAAATCGATCAGAGAAGAGAAGACACATGGGCCATGTCACATTGGTTTGAGGGCTCCTGGCCCTACTACTAGGGGCTCCTGGCTACTAGTGCCACTCGTTTCACTCGTTTCCACGGTGTGGCGGACACCGACCGCACCGTGATGGCTGCACCCATCGGACGACGGAGCGAGGAGGATCTACCGTGGCTCGGAGCGCGGTTTCGGCGGTTTGAAGTGCGTGTCACATCCTGTTTGGGAAGAAGTGACCGCCCCTGCAAAAAGCATTCGAAGTGGGTGAACTCCGTCTCTCCAGTGGCCAGGACTTAGCCACTTCCGAACGGTGGAGAGAGGGCATACGATGGGTCAACCAACGTCCGGGCCTGTCATAGAAACGTCGATCCCCACGAAACTCTTATTGGGTGGGGCTCCTACTTCTGGAAGGGACCTCATTTTACTGGAATTGGATCATGTAAGACACCTACGAAATCAGATAAGAACATGAGGTGTTCAGATTTGGACCTGGGTCGGGATCAGTGATCATTGAACATGATTCGATGTCCCGATCCGATCGGAGATGCCCCGACCGGTCTGCCATCCATTTTCAGTCTAAAGATTCCAATCCCAGACACGACGTCGATGGAACTGGAGTCTTAGGCAGATACATTCCCTTTGAAAACGCTCCCCCAATGTATAGATATGGCATAGATGGAGTGTTTGAGAATTGCTAACAGATGTATACAGTTGCAGTAACGTATAGTTAAATTGAAGATTCAACAGCGTGGCGCATCTTTTTTGTGGAAGTTCCTCGGGCCATGGTCGACCGGTTGTCACTTGTCTGCCAAATCCATCTGGTTCGGGCGACGGACAGTTGGCACGCACCCCTCACATACCTGGATATTCCAACTAATGGTTCCCTTTTAGTCCATCAAACATGTTTTTAGATGTAAAAAAAGTCACTCATGAATTTCTCAAATGCACTTTCTTACATGTAGAACACATGCAACAATTTGCATAGTTGGAAGATCAAGGTATACTTCCCCAGTGTATACCCAGTACACTATAAAGTACGCTCAAAAAGCCACTGGTTTCGTAGAGAACCGAGGTTCATAGACGTGTGTTGAGCTAACAAACTTGGCTTCCCAACGAATTGAAGATACGACTTCTACATGCATACAGAATCTAAACCTATACCTTCTTTTGACCTCCAAACTGGACGTGTCCAAGAAGATAACATCTATAAGTCTCTTCCGCAAAAAAACATAATAACAAACATGTCACATGTCCCAAACTACTTCAGTGATTCAAACAGAAAAGACACATGTTGCAACATCTCCCAATCCCAACCCTCCCAGGCCAACCCTATCCCAACCCTCCACCCTCCCAGGCCTTCCACCACCAGGACACTTTCCGCGGAGGCACTGGCAGCCTTCAGTGCCTTAGAGGTGACGCGGCCCGACGTGCTCCGTGCCACGCCCGCGTATCGCGCGTTGGAGCACTTTGGCTTGGCACTCCGAAGCTTGGCGACGGGGCGGACGGGGGGGGGGAGGAAGCTTTGGGCGTTTTATGGTGTTTTGGGTGTTCGCAACAGACAGGAGTTCAAGCTCTTGAGAGGTGGAATTTGGAGACTTTTGGGAGGTCGAAGGTGATTCAGAGACGGAAACCATCGGACACCAACACTGCCACAGCCCCAAGACAAAGTATACGTATGGATGTGCAGCTCAAATCCCGTCAACGACCTCCGTCAACGAACCCCAGGAAGGTTCGAAAACTAGACCATCCTCCCAAATCATCCTTGACCCAAGGGATCTCAATTGCACAAACCTGATTTGGGTCCCTTGATTTGATGGAAGATGAGAGGGCCCTCCCATGGAGGCTGGAGGCTCATGTTTAGAGCCTGAGAAGAGAAACCCCGAAAGTCGCTGAAATTGATCGCAGAAAAAGCACCACATTCTTCGCATTGCACCGGTTACGGGGTGGTTAACCACCAATCGATCGACATAATCAGAATAGACTACTGGGGAGGTTACATAATGGTTTAGGCTCCGGGTTTTGACCCATGGCCCATAGTCATATTCCTTTCCGTAACTGGGCAGATTCTCATCGATTCCAGGAAGACGCATGGTCATGGCGCCTTGAAACTGCGAGGACCTGATTTTGATGGAGATCTACATTGGAAGAGCGCGAGCACCTCCGTGATCGACACCTTCTGGTCTCATTCTTGGCATGGCGGATCTCGTTCCTCGCTTCAGCCTGCAACACCTTGTAAGAACACATGATTTGAGTGGTCAAGAGAGAATGAGAACTTCCGTGGAAAGACGAAATTGAACTACCCCACTTGGACGGGAGTGGCAAGTCACTTGGGAGTTCATAAAACGACCAAAAACGACCAAACATCATTAAGTACGGAAGTGGATAGCATGGCCGGACAGTCAGAATACCACACAGAGGGTGTTCATTCCACTTCTATGTTCTATGTTTGGAGGGGGGGTACTGGGTTACTCACAAGTCCTGCGGGGCCTTTTTGCTCTGTTCTGGGGGCCTTTTGGGGCACTTGTGGAGACGTATGATGTTCTCGTGATCGCCTTCACTTCCCAGACACGACTCATTGGACTGGCATATGGGACTCGGTCCCGGGTGGTTGAGTACAGATGGTCAATGGGGCGACACATATTTACGATATATATATATAACTAAAAAATATATATATATATACCGTACCGTTATAATCAGCACCCTCCTGGCCAGGTGCTTCCTGGCACGTCGGGTCTCCAAACAGCCTGGCCAAGAGGGTCCGATCAATCTAATATATATATAGTTTCTTTACAAAGGCATGAAGTGTGTGGATTATCGTTTCAGTGCCAGTGAAGTAGCGTTTTAGTTGCGGTGACACCACTTCACTGCCACATCAATCGTGGCAGACCCAAGGAGCGGAGGTCTGTGCGAAAAGAAAGACACCGGTCACTTGTGGAGCTTCATCAAGCATCACCACGGATGACACATGTGTGGGTGATCTTTAGAAGTAAAGCGACCCGAATCGGGCACTACCGTCTTTTTTTTTTAGCGGGTGAAATGGAGGGATGAAGTCACCCTGTTGAAACTCTTCACACTCTCGCTCCAACCAACTCTGACTCTCCCATTCAGCCCAACCACCTTCTCTTTGGGATGTCGGGCCAGAAGTCCTGCAAAGAGATGTACTAAATGACACATGGAGATGGCGCTAAGCCACCGAGGGAAGAAAATCCTCACGCTGCTGGTGCTTTACAATGGCCGCGCAGCCATTGCCTGGGGCTTTCTCACCGTCTTCATCAGCGCGTGGCTAGGTTGGCAGACGAAGGTAGCTGATCCAACAGCTCAACGAGAGGGAACTCCAATGCAAAGGGTCTACTCTTTGGATGATTCTGATTTCTAAGGGCATCGCTACTTGGAACAACAAGTTCCTAGGTTGGAGGCCATCGCTACTAGCAGCAAGGACGCTACGATATTCAGATGCTTTAGATCTTCAGTTGATTCAGATATCTTACGAAGAGGGGTTGACAAATATCAACACTTATCACTTGTGGACCAATTCCCAAGTGATCGCCACTGTCCGAGTCTAAGTTCTCCATGTGCTCGATAGGACAGACTCAAATTTGGTGGGAACAGCGGGCAACTCCTTCCCCAAGTATCCACTCCTTGCGTTTTTTGCTTTTCCGCTGACGAAGCGAAGTGCATTCTTTTAGTATTCCGGGGTGACAACAAATAAAACTAACCACAAAACCCAAGCTGCCCCCTTTTTCAGAGATCAGACTGCAACAACGAAGTTTCCCCAGTCAGATCGCTTGCAGCTTTTGTAAGTTGACACTCTTGGTGCTTTTCCAGGTGCTTTGGCCATTTGGTGTAACAACGTGTAACATACTGTAACATACTCTTACCAGGACTCACAAAGGAGTGGTGTTTGGTCCCTAAGTGAGTGCATAATGGGCACTCCTAACCTCCATGGATAGCACCCCGTCTTGTGACTCCTGGTATATCTCAATCTCTTATGTGCTGCGGCAGAACTAATGGAATTGGCCCTCCCATGTTTTCTCCTTCCGTTTGCACTTTCCAACGCCGCGATTTTCTCTGATGTAGTAGGGGGGAGGGATTGCACTGGAGGTCTCAGGTTTGGGGACCTGATCTCGATCACAAGAAAGAGATCTCAAGAGGTTTAAGACTCCAAGGGATGCTGTATTTTGGAACCCGAGAAAAGAGACACCTTTTTGAAGAGTTAGTGCACAGGCGCCGTTGAGACCACGGATACGAGTGCAGCGATGTGGCTCTGAGCCAGGAACACCAGTTTTCCAGCACTCCTTGTTGAGACCCACGGATAAAAACAACTACTGTATATATATTGTATTAGACAAATTAGATGGTGAAATGAAAAGCTCATCTTCGTCATGTAAGGTTTCAATGTAGATGGTCGATGAATCCCCCCATGGTTGATGGTAAAACCCTGATGTTTTTCATCAGCAGTCTACATGGATGGTTTGATGATGTCTCAGGTCTACCAGCAAACATCGATCTTAAACAAAAAACTGAGATAAAGACTGTTGAGACTTCCTGCGTTCGACCCCTGTTGTGGTCACCGGATTCGATGTTCGACATCGGATTCAGCGTCTACCTTTAACCCGGTCTTTCGGGTTGACCGGAGGGTTAACCCGGTTCGAGACTTGGGTCCGAGTCGGGGTTTTCTTGGATGGAACATCGGTTGATATATGTTTTTTGTTAAGACTTACAAGCTTCTTGTTTCTACGTTCGCTTCTTGTTACTACTAGTGAGGCACTTGTTACGAACGAAGCGATGCACTTGTTTCTAGTAGCGCACATTGTTTCTGTCTTTTGCACCTTTTTTGCCCCAAGAGTTAGGAAGAACATATGCAAGGAGGACTTTTTGTTGGAGAGAGCGGGTGGTCATGGGGCCTGGGTTTTGGTTTTCCCAAAATTTTAGGTAAATCCTTCAGTGGCAGCCCCTCTCCATATAAACACACATATAATCTATTCCTGCTCTCTCTATATGAACAAATATATTATGTATTCCTGAGTCAGGGTCATTTTATTGTTTTGGAAGCAGCAATCAGTCATTCAGATGGTTTTGAACCAGATGATTAGGAAAGAAGCAGGTCATAAAAGTGTTTACTTTATCAGTTGTCCTCTTGATCTCTGGTTATAATTATGTTTAGATTTGGACAGATTGTATATAGACGCTTTTATGTTATACAAGGTTCTCTATAGATATCTGCAGATAACCATTTTTAGATTTAAACAACTATATAGAAACCTTGTATGTTAAAAGCTGTCTTCTAGATTTCTGCGGGTAAGAGCTTGCATGTTCAAAGCTTTCCTCTGGATCTCTGGGAAAGTAGATATCCCATATATGTGTGTTTTCATGAAAGGAAAGCTCTTGAAAGAAAAGCTTTTTTTATTGACATATAGCATGTTTAAATTGACATGACCATTTCCAGAGATCTAGAGGAAAGCTTTGAAATGAAAGCTTTTAGATATTTTTATTATAGAAATGATCATCCCCAGAGATCTAGAGGGAAGCTCTTGAATTAGAAGCTTGTACACAAAACATTTTTAATATGTCTATATTATCTCCAGTGATTACTGTAAGTACATAAATCTAACTATTTACTCCAAAAAAAGAGTTTTAGTCTTGTTCCCAGCACTCCCAGGGCAACAAAAATACTGCAAAACACGGGGTTTTGTAGCATATGTTTTCTTAAACTAAATAGACTAGAGCTAGAATAGACTTAGGTATAGTTAAATTGGATTTGAGTTAGAGCTAAGATTGAACTGAATTAAAACCGAATTTCAACTAAACTTGTAATGAACTATAACTATAACCTATTTGAAATCAGATGAGAGTTGAATTAGAAAGGAATTGGAATTAAAATTAGACGTTCGCCAGAATAAGATGTAAAACGCTTGAGCTACAAGATGCACAAGTCGAGGAGGCTTCGAAATTACAAAGCCGAAGCAAATGCAACAAGCATTGAATTAGAACTACAGCTTACACAGATTCATAACAGTTTCATGTACATTGGACGGTGTCATTACAGTTTCATGTCAAGCTGATTGGACATGCAATTGGCAACCACATTGATACCAATCAGAAGTTAATGCACAGACTTGTACATGGAGATTTCGACAAGGACAAAGGGAGTGTTGGGCTCAGACGCTTTCATTGTAAGAGCAAAGAACATATGCCTTTAGGTGAGACTTAGGCTCACATGCTTGAAGGTTGAACCAAATAGTAATAATACAGATTGACCTAAATAGGAAAACCAAAAAAACAAAAAACCGTGAGACAACCAATATCAACCTAGGAAAAAACAAAAAAACAAAAACGACCTTGGAAAGCAGCAAAAACAATTCTGGGGAAGTCTTGAGGAAAGGGGGGGGTCCAGCCAAGAGTCTCTGAGAATTGTTTTTTTGTTTTCCCAATTATTTTTTGTTTTTCCCTAGGTTGTTATTGGCTTTCCTAAGGTTTTGTTGTTTTTTTAGTTTTTTTCATAAGTTATTGTTTTTTACTGCAACTTATTCAATGTTTTATTTGTAGTGTTGATTGTATTTGTTTTTTTTGTGGTTTTGCTTGTATTTGTGAAAAGTTGTTGACAAATACAGAAAACCAAAAACCCAGGCCCCACGGCCAGAGTAATGAATCCCCCCAAAAAACAACCAAGACTCTCTCTTCAAGCGACGCTTTTGAACCCAAGCGAAGCGTCTTAGAGCGAGGCTCTTGTTCGCTTTCGGCCACCTGGATGCGAATGCGTCGGCTGCGTCGGGTGCGTCGGGTTTGGGACGAATTCGAGTCAAAGTCATGGGACTGCCATGCCGATCAATTGACCCCCCGTATATGTCATATCCCAATGTAGGCATATATGGCAGTCCCATGGGTCGTGTCTGGGGGACCGTGTCGGGGGTGGGCCGGTTCCCATGTTCAGACCAAACGGGTAGTGAACTCCACTTCGACTATTTCAGGAAGTGTAGTGCCATCTATAGTTGCGGGCCCCGCCATTCTTGTGGATGCTCACCGCCACAAGGCGGACACATGGTGAATCAGAGACTTCACCGTGTTCAACTGGTCAACTTCACCGTCATCTCTGTATCCCGGTTCTTCCTGGTGTTTCTATACAGGAAGAACCAGGTTTGCATCCACAATGAATGGTTCCTGGTTCCTTTATTATAGGTATAGGTAATAGGCATCATTTGGCATCTGGGTACAACTACCGGCGGTTCATCCGGAGGAAGGTTCCGGATGATCCCAACTTTCTTTGATAGATATCATCTTTCTTTCAGTTTATAATCATATTCCTCGAAGACCCCAAAAAGCTGTTCACTGGAGAATATTTGGGAGGCCTATGGGACTGAGACACTTGAGATTCCGCATTTCGCCTCTCCCTGTCTTCTCTTGGCCTCGAGGTTCCGTTGACATCTGAGGGTTGACTCAAGCTTCGGCTTTCTGGTGAGAAGTTTTCGAAGTCCCAAAAACGCTCCGCGAAAAACGTTCCACGACCAACTGAGATCAACTGAGGCATTCTACCTGGTTTCAAGAGAAACGAGGAGCTGCTTCGTACCTCCTCATGGTGTTTGCCTTGTGGTTGTTTCTTTGCTGCTGGGCTTTAAGAGAAGGTCTGCAGAAATTGGTCACAATAAGAAATGGGCGATCCTGGATGTGGTTTGCTGATGAATAAACAGAAAGCATTGAAAGCATTAATAAACAAGAATCATGAAACAAAATCATCTCCCCTCTACACCTGGATCAAAGTTGGGATTCCTGGCTCACTGTGCTTAAGTGTTTCTACGAAGCAACCCATTCTTTGATTGAGGGTTTTAGACTACAAAATCAGGTCAACCTCTCTTTTAATATGGTCTTTGCAAGGCGCCATTGAGTTTCAACGATTCTTTCACCGTGGCCAATCTTGCTTCTCTTCCACTGGGGTCCCACACAACGGCGCATGTCCAAGCGTTGTCCAACCCAACCCAACTCCGCGCAACGCTCCAGGCCTTGGCTGCCTTGATCACGAGTCGCCCGAGGCAAAAGAGGCTCGGCGGCAACGGAGGCTAAGCCCCCCCGAACAAACACCTTCAAATGTTCGGCGCGCCCAGCGGCTCCGGATGATCGATCACATCTTTTTTGGGCCGTTAAGGTATTCGTAACATCTCCAGAACCTCTTTTTTTTCACTTTTTCTATCATCTCTTGGCAATCCCTTCCCTTAAATGACTCTTCTTTTTATCGCCTTGAAGAATCCACCCCCCCCCCGAAACCTCATTTCAAGCCCACCTTTCTTTCTTTCTTTCAAATGGACGCTTCGATTGGACGGACCGGCAGGATTGAATTCGGTTGTAGGCCTCTAAGAGCGCCAAGATCAGTTCTGAGATTCACAAGGATCGTCACCCCAAACACGGTCAATTAAACAATGGGCAATCGCCTCATACTTGCATCTCTTGAAAAGAGAGTGAGGGATGTCACGTTGAGTCAAGTCATTGAGCGACATGGCAAGGTGCACCGTGAGCAAGCAATGGAGCCCACATGTATCATGGTACAAGTCAACGTGGCCAACTTGAGGCATCGACAACAGCATTTGTGTGTGGTGCAAGAATCTCAGAGAAGGTCGATGCTCAAACAAACATGGCACATGATACCGCCACGCACAGGCACCAAGCAACAACATGCATTGTACCATGGCATTGGCCTTTGCAACTAGGTGATGTTGGCTCGCTACAAGGTTATCACGGCCCCAAGGGAGCTGCAAGGTGCGATTGGCACAACACACCTCGCCATAAAAATCAACAGGCCCAATCATCCAACAAGGATCAAGCAAAGTACCAACAACGGCAACAATCCACCCTTCATGCAAAAGCCGCATGCAAAAGGTCTGGATGTCATGGTCAGCCAAGTCCACATCAAGTGCAAATATGTACAAGTCAGCCTGCTTGTCAGCCGCTGCTCGTTGCAGGGAATTTGCAAGCTCAGTGGTGGCGCCGGCCACGGCATAAGGCATCAGAACAGTGTGGCCTTTTTTTAGGGGAGAAGGTTGAAGATTGGCGAACGAATCCAAACGCGCACAGTCAAGCAGCAACCATTTCGAGTTAGCCAATCTTCTCGCCCGAATACCAAGCTCAGGCCTGACGAGTTCGGCAAGCTCCCCAGGGTGAAAGATCCAAGCAACAACAACAGACGCACGCGTCAAAGCGTGCTCAACCTCAACGTCATTAGCATGATCGGCAGCAGCCGTTATGACATGGGCCAAGCCAAGCGCAAGTTGGGGTGCATGCTTCACAAAAGGCCAGCAAATGTTAAGAAGTTCATGCACACAAAAACCGAGATCGGTGCAACTTTGAGCATCAACGTGCATTATCCAATTCAGCAATGAACTTGCAAGGGCAAGGTCACTAGGCAACGCTGCTTCATCCTGTGGAGGGTCTGGAGAGGGCTTCAATGTCGCCCACCAAGGCAAAGGCCCAAAGCTTTGGACAAGGGGTTTGAACGCGGTGCGCGACGGCTGGCGTTCCAACTCAGGAAACTCAAGATCAGACTGTTCCAGGATTGCAAGGCATTCCTTCTTCTGCTTCAGGTGGCGCTGAAGACGGGTGGAATCCTGACAATTCAGCAAGCAAGCTTGACACACGCTACCTCGCGCATAGCGATACTCTCTCGCGTTAGTACCATGATGCCGATAATTATGAACAGCGATCCCTTTCGCTGTTTGCATGCACTTACCACAAGTGGCACAGGAAAAGGTTGCCTCTTCATCCGGGAGATTGGCCGAGCAATCGCCAACATACACCCCGACGTCCGACATGAGGTCGCAAAACCGCACGCTAAACTCTTTCCCTACGCACTCACGCGTTTGGTGCAACTTAGCGACTGTCTGCACACGCTTAAGCAAATTTTTCCACCATCCAGAGTCATGGAGAATGCGTGTATCCAGCAACGCAGTAGGCACACCATGCTCAAGACCAATGGGCTCCATGTAATCAATCCATTGCAACGACTCATGCAAGTGCTTTAGCCAAGATTGCTCTTTCCGTAGAAGGGCCCACAAGGACCTGGGACCACATCGCAAGAGGCGGCCGTAATATCTGGCTCTTTCCACATAAAGGATGTGATCCGGACGGAGAAAAAGCAGCTTGTTGCACACCTCGTCATCCGTCGTGTTTTTCGTATGTCTCCGGAACAGGGCGCAAAAAAGGCGGCGGTAGAGGGACATAACGCATGTGCGATAACGAGCAGCCTCACTGGCCCGACTGAAAACCCAAGTGGCAGCATGATGCAAGAAAGATCGCAAAACTTGAGAACAAAACACCTGCTTTTTAGTTTTCAGAGGGAGAGCAGGATTGCGAAACACATCCTTGCAAAGCTGTCTGAAAGATTCATGGGCTATGGCGTTTCTCTTTCGCAGCTCAGGGGTCATGTCGCCATCCCACTTCAACAGTGTGCCAAGGTGCACATATCTATCGGTCACTCGCAATGTTTGGTCTGGCTCACCGGACACAAGGATTTCACAGCCTTGGTCGATAAGGACCTTGCGGCGGACAGCCCTAGAATTGCGGCCATACAAGCAAAACATGCACTCACTTTTACCCTGCTTCATGTTCATTTGAATGCCAATGTTTTGGAGTCTGCGGCGGCAACGATCAGCCACGACCGGCACAAGTTCAGCAAGCTGTTCAGGGCATGGATGGGTGATCAACAAAGCAATGTCATCAACCCAAGTCGGAATAGGCATTTCACATTCTGCGTCGCCATCATTCAACAAACAAGCGGCGGCACCAAGGTTACGCAAATCCTGATGCAAGCGATCCAGAAAAAAACGAAAAACCCACTTGGAAACACAAGTCCGCAAGAGGGCCACCAGGAGAAGCCCCCGAGGTGGTATGGATCACTTTAGGGCTTCCACGAACTCGAAACCAAGTAGTGCTCATGGCATCACGCAATCTCTGAACAACATGAGGGGGCAAACCAGTAACCTCCTTGCGACGCAGGGCGCAGATCAGTTCCAACATGTCTTCCTGCCGCTGAGGGTCATCTGTCATGGCCTGAACAAAAGTGCAGGCTGCAGACGTCGACTCGCCCAAAATGACTTGCCGAAACACCGCATAAAACGCATCTTGTCCGTCAACAAATAAGATAGCAGCAGGGAACTTTGCGCGCTTGGCGTATCTAATGAAGGAAGCAACCAAATGGTGGGGCATTTCTGTGGAAATCCCGGGCCGAGCGCCACATTGCATGTCTTGAGCGCGCCAATGCTCACGAATCTCAGCTCGGAGCAATTTCTGGTAAATCTTAGCGGCAGTATCATAAAGCATGATATTTCGCCAAGACTTGGGGTGGGTCAAATCAGCTCCATGCTTAGGTGTAGGCACCACTTCACCGCCCAGCCACTGCAGTGGGGGCTCGTGTCGAAGCCATGTCTTCAAAAGAACCGGCATCAGAACAGCTGTCGCAGCGCGTGGAGCAACTTTATACAACTCACCGGGGATGCCATCCATGCCGACAGCCTTGTGAGACTGCAGCTCTCTACAAGCTGACTCAACACGATACCATGTGGGAACACTATGCAAATCCGAACAGCCTTGCAACAAGCCAACATCAGAAGCATGAGCATGAGCAAGGGTCAACGCTTCTCCAGTCACTTCCAAACCACGTTCAACACACGCGTAGTGCCCAGCAAGAACATCAACAGCTTCAGCACGGCACCTGACGGATGTACCATCTGGCCGCTTAAGTGCTTGCATGGCATTAGGCCTGCGCGCTTTGCGACTTCCCGTCATTTGCCGCAAACAAGCATGGAAAGCCCGAGGACCAAGTGTAAACTGGTTAGCAACAAGTTGCAACACAAAGTCAGCCTTGTCTGCCACAAGTGCCTTTTTGAGGTCTTTGGTCGTACTGTGAATTCTGTAAGAGGCGACAGCAATAGCCTTATTCATGCGCTTGATGAAGGACGGCAAGCTTTCACGACGCACGACATGTTGACCATGGGTCCACTCACGCCAACGCACAAAAACAGAAGCCAATCGAGTAACGTGTACAGCTTTGTGGAAACAATGAATGTCTCGGCGGGCAGCGCGACGTTTTTGGATAAGCTGCCAAGTTTCATGGCCAATGCATGACTTCCTTGGTCGACGCTGTGGCCGCGGGAATTCCTCTTTCAATCGCTGCAAAATGAAGCCTGACACCCGTGACCAATGATCGGTGCTATCAGTAGCCCAGGGGATGGCAGGCACAGAATCAAGTATTTGCTCACACTTTACGCGCCCTTCCTTTGTCAACATCTGGCCAACATCCAAACCGGGATCCAACTTCCGACAAGAGCTCACAGTACACTCATGCTCACCCAGGGTCGTAAAGGTCAAGGGCACATGGTCAGTGATGCTCATGCAGTTTTCAAACATGTCAAGAGTTTCAGTGGTGCTGTCCGGCCCACTCCAGTTATGGGGCAACATGATGTAATCCAAACACGCTTGCGCGTTGTTAGGCCCCTTCCAAGTGATGATCGGCTGACCACTCTGATCAAAAGAGGCCGACAACACTGCCTTCTTTGACTTGACCACACCAGCCAACCTCAGTGCGTTTGGATCAGCGGGGTGAGTCAAATCGTGATGAGAGCGACGATTGAAAAAGCGACCGTTAGCATCAAACAAGCCAACAACAGGAGTATCAGAATGTATCTCAGCAAGCGCTTCCTCAAGTTGGTCCCACCACGCATTGCACGCTTCATCCGTGTGATCACTGTTGCTCAACGCATGCCCAACAACAAACGCAACAGTAACGGTGTCTGCCTTTACCGTAGTGAGTAACAAGCGTGGGGTCGCAACATGGATGCAAACAGAAGTGAAATCCCAGGAAACGTTGCGTTCCTCATCTCGAAAAAAAGGGATCCGTTTACTGAGCCACAGTTCACATCCTCCAACACGCCTGTCATCAGCAGCAGAAACAACGCGCATGTACGCACCAACGCTCGAGAGGCCAGTGTGCTTTCCACGAGCCTCTTGGATGCCAACAACAGCACAGCCCAACTTGTGAAACTGCTCAGCTGTTAAACAAATCTTGCCTTCTTCCCTCAGGGTCATTGCGTTGTAAGTCGCACACTTCCCGACAACGCGAAAAGACCGCATGGCGCTTGCATCAGCAAAGCCTATGGGAGCAAGATGCCGCGGCACAGACAAACTTGAGAGTTGTCGGGGTTCAACAAGAAAACAAGATCGCGAATCATGCTTAATCACGGGGGGGTACATTGGCAAATCACCATCTCTCAACGAGGAAACCCACATCCAGTGCCAACTATCCTCAGGGAAAACGAAAGAGTCAAGCAAAGAGGGGTCATGCTGCCACGCAATCAGGTTTGAGTCAGGACGTACGGCGTTCGCCAACACATCAGCACATTCGTTCCAAGCATGCGAATTATGCGCGCGAACATGAGTCAAGCACAATGAGCGGCGATTGTGAGCATGCAAAACAAGCGAGCGCACAAAGCCAGCCAGCGGATTGTCAGCAGCAGCACTGGCCAGGCCAGCTGCTGAGAAACCGGCGGTTTCGGAGTCAAAGGAAATCTCAACAGCAACACCAGTCGGGAGACTACAAGCCAAGAGAGCCGCGAAAAAAAGGGCCATGTGCTCTGCAATGGCTGCGCTGAGTTTAGGCTTGGGCCAAGGAAAGCGCTGGTCAAGGCTCACGTTCCCACTAGCAACTCCAAGGCGCACAAGCTTGGGTTCATGGCTAGTCAAGCAACCGGGCAATGCTTGCACCTCACCAAGTGCGACAAGAGCCCAAGTGGCGCTTTCAGCCCCGTCCTTTTGCCGTTTGAATGACCCATCAGTAAACATGTGCACCTTTGCAATATCCTCACATGTCCAAAGTGGAGTGACTTCAAGGGCCGCGACAGTAGCAGCATGCCAAATCACATGGTCAGGAAGCGACTGGCTCAACATGTCAACAGTGAACGCCCTCTCAACAGCATGTCCCATCTGAGGCTGAAAAGGAATATCAACAAGTCTGTTTTGGTGTTCCCAAGACACAAAATTGAAGGAATCTTCAATAAAACAAGCAACGTTGGCATTGCAAATCTCAGAATCTTTAAACAAAAATGGAGGGGAAAAATCCTTGGCCAGTGGCTGTACAGTGTGGCTGGAACCCCTCAGTTCATCTACTGGCGCACGGTTCCGGTAGCTCTGGGAGCTCAAATCATCTTCGTCATGACCAGGAATCAGGTGATCAAGGGCCAAGATTACCGGCTTGCCCCGGCTCTGCTCTGCAAGACCCATAGCAGCGCAAGCATCATTCAAACTGTTGAGGGCATCAGATACCACAACGGGTTCAACCGGCACTGCGCAGCTGTCCATGGCAGCAACGGCATCTGAAACTACAACCCAACTAGTATCACTACAGGGGGCCTGGGGCTGGCCAACATTTGCTATGCTCACATAGCTTTCGCCGACCCTAGGTCGGGATTCAGTACTTTCTTGTATGTTTTGTTTTTGGCCCATTGGCTCTTTTGTCCCTTTCTTACCCACGCCATCTTGGGGGCAGTGGGATTTTCCAGTCAAGACATCTAAGCCTAAACGGATCCTTTCACAAGAGCAGAGCACACGGTCAACGTGCACTGCGAAGGAAAGGTCAACTGCTCTTTGGCCGGCTTGAAACACACTCAGGAATGTGGGATCACCGACGATGGTATGACAAAATTGATGAACCCAAGCTTCACAAGTGGTAAGACCGTGCTGTAAGATCCTATCTTTACAAGAAAACTTCACAGGCACTAAACAATCAAGGCAATTGCCAAACCCTGTAGCAATTGGCAAGTTAGGCTGGAAGAATCTTAATTCAAGATGGTGTGAAAAATCTACCCTTCGATTGCGTCTAGGCCCGTCACTGGCATGCTCATGTTGTGCAACTTCACCAGCAGGAGCATGGGAACCACAGCTTAGGCCTATCCAAAAACTGCCTTGGACTCGTTGTTTTGAGTCTTTTGGCGCTTCTGCATCGGTGCTTCTTTGAGTAACTCCATGCAATCCATCAAAGCCTTCTGCATTGTGCCAACTGTCACATCCAAATCCTGGTAGGCAATTTCTGGTCTCTTGACGCTCTTTGTCCTTGGCGTATCTGCTGCTTCTTCTTCGTCCGCATCTTCTTCCATCTCTGCCTTCATATCTTCGTATGCCTGAAGCGCTGCAGGGGACAATTCGCTGGGCATACCCCCGCGGTCGGACTCCATCAGCTCTTCGATGGCCTGTCTGGCTTGGTGTATCTCGGCAAGGCAGCTCATCTCGGCTTCCGCAAGCTGCTGCATGGTGGACTTGAAGATGGCTATATTCTCTTTGAAACGCTCGGTGGACTTTTCGAGGTAGTCTTTCCAAGCCTCCATGTGCTGAGCCCTGCCCTCCTGGACCTGAGCCAACCTCTTCCGAGCCCCACCAAGAGCTGATGCCGACTTGTGGAGCTCTTTGGTGGTGAGCTTGTGCTTTTGTTTGTCGTACTTGGCCACAATCTCTCGCACAGCTACCGGAGCTTGACCAAAATCTGGGCAAGTCTTCAAAGCATCGATCAGCGTTTTGAATTCGCTGGCTTGTTGGGAAGAAGCGGGAGCTGTCGCTGGGGCCGAAGCTTGAGCATGGCCATAGGCAGGAGGCCAAGCATGCGGTGGCGGCACAAAGTCTGCCTGACTGTATGCCGGGGGAGGCGCGACTTGGCTTTCTAAGCTTGTTGGCCCTTTCCCTGCATCTTTGGCTTTTCCTTTTGCCATGCCTTTTGCATGGTTCTTTCCCTTGCGCTCCCGCCCACGAGGTGTGGGAGTACGGCGCGGCGACCTGGGTCGCGGCCACTGGTTCCATGGCTGCCATGATGCCTCCACTCCATAAGATGATCCACGATGCCACGAAGTAGGATGGTCCCATCCAACTCCACACTGATTGCAAAAATTGGCTGATTGCTTGTTCCATTGCCGACAGCCGCTGCATTGCCACGACATTGGTAGGGTGTACCTTGGTCGTGTATGATGGGATTCCAAATAGTCAGCGGTCTGCCTTAATGTTGACAATGGCACTTCAAGGCCAAGATGTCGGGCTGCAATTATCTGTGCACGCCCAATGGATCTTCGTCGTCGGAGGTTCCGATGCCAGGTTGGTTCACGCCACACACTCGTGATTGGATACAAGGGCACAAGTGAAAGAGTAACGAGGTATTCGAAGAAACCTCTAAGGCTTCTTTTGAACCGAAACCTTTTCAAGCCCACCCCAAAAACCAAAGAAATCGACCAACCTTTTTGCTTGTTCATTTGACTTGGGCACCTCAGTCTAGACACCTCTTCCATCTGGTCCATGGACCCCAAGACGACGCGGCGAGGCGACCTTCTTCCGTGCTCCGTTTCGCTCGGACCAAGCAAAGGTTTTGCAAACGCGTAGCTCGGTCCCCTGACCCGCGCGCCGAAGATTTTCTTGGACCGGATTTGCATCAGCCAAGGGAATCCTGAGCTTAAGAGGTCCGGTTTGGGTGTTTTTTGTGGGGCTGGTTTTGGGGATGGATGGATCGCGTTGGGATTTCCATGGGTTTCCGGCCAATCTGATGGATTTGAGGGCAACCACTTCGATTCATGCCTGGTGCAGATGGGTTCTTTTGCATGTGCAATACAGGCCACATTTTAACAGCTTAAATTTGTTTCAACATGGATTTTCAAGAGGAACTTTGGTGCCGGATCAGTGTGGGTTTGGATTGCCAGTTGTGCCAGAAGACTTTGCATAATCATATCTACTAAGAATTTGGGCCTTCAATGGGAAGGGTTTGGAGGGTCCAGACCCCTGCTATGGAGGGCCCAAGGATGAAGAGGTTGAAGGGTTCGCATGATTTCAAGGTGCCTCAAGGCTCCTTACTCATCAGCCACATGGATGAATGATTGTTTCCGTGGTGTTTCCTCTTTGTAGACCAAGGCCAAGATTCCTCCTGCATGAGAGATATAGGATCCAATCTTTTTTCAACGAGGAATTCGTTCCTTTCGGCAGCCCAGCTCAGCCCAGCTCTGAGGTCAAACACTTGTCACTACCCCAAAACCCGTTTCCATCGGTCAAACGACGCTTGGACCATCGGTCGGTCAGGTTCGACGGCTTGTTTTCATTGAACTCCTCGCGTGTTGGTGGGTTGATCGAAAGCAGCGGAGGTAGTTTGGTGCTTGCCAGTAACGTCATGTAAGGATATGTAAGGTATACTTGTTATATCCAAGCAACGCTTTATGAGAATAGTAAGGTTTTGGTATGATAAGGATGCTTTCTTGTCTCATATACTAAGAATCAGGATCAGTTTGTTAAATTCTTGTCAAGTATACTGTCCCTCCAACAAACATGGAGGTGGCGTTCACCCCCTAGGTGTAGTGTGTCTTTCTAATTCAATGGCAAGAACAACGGAATAACTTTTAAACACTAGATGCAGCCAGGTCATGGTTTCTTGCTCCGGTTTCTCGTCAGGCAATCCATTTTGAGCCTGGCGGGTTTGCTGAAGAATTCAGAGACTTGGTCAAAAAAGGCACTGAAACACACATGATGGGAAAAACAACAAAAGAAACCACACACTTTCCTTTTTGGAAGCGTTTTTGGTCTCCGAACGTGCCGAGTCGAACCTGAGTCGGGATTTGGTCTCCGCGGAGACGCGGGTCTTTTGGTCGTCACGGTTCCACCCAGTTGGGCTAGGGCAACTTCACTTCCTCAAAAACTTGGGCTTCACCATGTGTGTTTTGTTCCATCATCTTCCAGCATGTTTGTATGGTTTTTGCATGCTTTTGGCCGTCTTTGACCTCCTGGCCGCCCCTGACCGACCGAGTCGGCCTTTTTGTGGTCGAAAAGACGTCTCTTCAATCCTCTTCGTCTCTTAAATCCTATTCGAATTCGGATTTCTGGTCATGTAGGTCCTAAAAATCATGACCATCCCCCATTTGGGGAGGGAAAAACAACCTTTTCATCATTTTATTGATCAAGAGTCGATGTGTGGGATTTTCAAGACCCCCATCCCGAACAACTCGCAAGAATCCTTTTTTCTCTTCCAGGTGTAGTGTGGTTTCATAGACCATGAGAGGCTTCCAGTTCGTGCCCCCCCCGCCAAAAAAAAAGCTCATTTTCTGGTTCCCACGTCTAGTACCACGTCCATATCTTCAACATTCTTCAACCACCTCGCATGAAGACATATTTCCAGCTACCCAGGGGCGAAGCTTCTGGCCGAACGAAGCCTGGGCAAGTCTGGCCTCTGCTCGAATCCTCCGAATCGGAGTCTCCAAGGAGAAGATGCTGGTTCTATGGGATCAGACGTGGAGTCAGAGACTTTGGCGACTCGGCGGTCTGGAGCGGAGGTCGCCCAGAAAGTCGGAGTCGGTCGGAGGGCAGAGTGCACAACAGGTGCAGATTCGGCGTGAGGAGTCTTTGATATCCTACCAAGGGGGCACCAAGTCTTCCATGACAAAAAAGTTGAAAACAGTATTACACGCACCTGAATCAGTTCTTGATAATCGATACTTGTTACTGGTTTCCAAGCTTAATTGAGCATCATATTTTTTGTTAGAGCAATAACCTTCATCAGAGATCGTTGAGCTTCTCGTCCTACCTCGGGTTTGCTGGTTCAGTTCAGTTCTACTAGAGAAGAGAAAGGCTTGTAGAACTCTTGACCTGGTTGATGAAATGGGTAAACCAAGAGCCCTCATCAACTCTTTATCCGCGCCATCGCACTAGGCACCTGTTTGCGGTCGATTTGAGGTGCCTGTTTGAGTTGGCGGCCTTTCTGAAGAGCAGATCCAGTCAGAGCAAGAAGCTGGTCACTTGGATGTAGAAAGAACAAAGTGGTCCATGGTTGTCTGAGTGGGGAACTTCCGTGAGCCAGCAATGAACAGTGAAGACGGGTGAAGACGGGTGAAGAGCACATGGCCAGAGCAAGGTGATTTCACCCTCTCTGCTTGGGGGGGGAGAAGATCTAGTTGAACTATGTTGAACTCAGTGACCTTCTTGGCACCGGGCACCTCTGAGATCCAAGTCTTCCGGTCAGACACGGCACAAAATGAATTGACCTTGCGGCATGAATGAAGGGGGGTTGCTGAGATGTTGAGGATCTGCAGATCTGGAGAATTGAATCTGCTGAGCACCATAGAGTATACTCAACAGATTGGATGAGGTTCTCAGGTTGGGATTGCATGTCTGGTGAGCACTAATCATAACGTCCTTGAGTTGGAAGGGCTAGGACCGTGAATCTGGTGCATCTGAATCCAGGTTAATACACTTCCGATTCAATCGCATCTAGGATCCAGAAAACCTTGCTTAGTTGTCCATGTTATTGAATTTTCAACTAACAGAACACTTGTCCATGATGGACAACTGCCATCCATTTTCCTGTGGTTTTGGATTCCATTGGTGCTCCACTTGAGCCTCCAACATTCCCGCATGAGAATAGCCAGAAACCGCATACCCACCACCAGACATACCCTTTGATAGAGGTCGGACCCTTGTGATCGGAATTACCCTCCGAACGCGTCACCTGGTGCACTCATCGGATCTCCGAACCCGCCACGTCACAGACTTGAAGCCACGTCACAGACTTGGGCATCTCGGAAAGCATCTCTACGATTGAAGCCCCTATAATATATAACATCCCGGATAGTTCACTTCGCTGTTGGGGACATGTTCAAACCACCGGACCGGCCTCGTGGCGCGCGCCCGCCCGCTGCGCTGGATGGTCTGGCGTCCGCCACGCTCGCCAGACCATCCAGCCAACCTTCTCGGGTCCCTGCTCTCTCTGCGCCTTCATCACGATGTTCGCGGCCGCCTTGCCCTTCACCGCAGTGCCCATGGAAAATCAGGTCCGCCTCTGGGTGGCTCGGCCAGCGGAATTACTGGGAGGTGGGTGAGATCAACAGGGAACTTACTGGGCTCGATATCTGCAAGTTCAGCAGGATTTGCAGGCTCAGGTGTATGCATTGTGTATACCCCACATGAACCCAGCAACAAAACTCTTGGCAAGAGTCGCAAGTGGTGTTTTTGTTCGGGTTTGGGCGAAAAAAGACGGGAATTTGAGGTTGGAGCTCGGTATTACTTTGTTTTGGGGCAATGGGGTACGAAAGTATTTCGAGGAGGAGAACATGCTCAAAGGTTTTTGGGAAGACTGAAGACCCACCTCTTCGACCTCTACCACCACGAACATCAGTGATCTTCTAAATGTCACTATGGGTGAATCCCCGACAGCAAATCTGGGGAATATATTAAATATGTATATAAATATGTTTGATATGGTTTGATATATGTTTCCTGGCAAAAAAAAAAAGCAAACCCAGGTCCAAACTCATCGCAAGTCACAAGGGGGTCGAGGTAAAAACTGAAACATCAAGATCCTTCCTTTTGTGAATCAGTTCCTTCATTGCAGAAGACACCCTTTGTTTGCAAGAAGCAAGAAGCTGTTTTTGTTTTTTCCCGATGCCAGAATATGCCAGGAATAATGTCAGGATAGATTGCAGATAGACTGCCAGGATGTCAAACAGATGCCAGACAAGATGCAAAGACGCCAGATGCCGCATAGAATGCTAGAAAAAGTGGCAGAAAACATGTCAGAGTAGATTACAACATACATTTGAGAGAGAATGTCAAATAGAATTCCAGAATATATGGCAGAAAGAATGTCAGATGATCAGAGGCAACTGTTTGAACTGCTGTCAGACCACTCGTGCCAGAACACATATCAGGCACCAATTGTTGGAACCCTCTCAGAACTAATACACCTGTTGGAACACTTGTCAGACAAATGTCAAAAGATGGAACAATTTTACACGAGAACCCATGTCAGAGCAAATGTAGGACCTTGTCAGACATAATTATGCAGACAAAGTTGTCAGAGTGAGTAGGTGACCGAATACATGTCAGACGTCAAAGCACATGTCAGAACAAATGACAGGTTTGCTGACAGAAGAAGTGTCAGAAAACGTGTCAGAACACATATCAGGACACATGTCAGGCTTGATGCGAGAGCACATGTCAGACTTGACGGCAGAAATGTCAGAACACATGCCAGAAAGGATGTGAGACCACATTCCAAAATAAAATCCCTTGCCTCTATGCAAGATATGAATTAGAAGAGTGACATACCAGACTTGATGCCAGAAGAAATGTTTGACCATTGTGGCAGCACACGTCGGACGTGTCAGGCAGCATTTGTCAAAACATACCTTATTATTCATCCTTGTTCCAGCCTTGCGTTTCAGGGTGAGGATCACTCGAAGTAAAGTAATTCTATGTTAAAGCTCTTTCCAATCAAGCTGGGCGGTGTTCATCCAAGATCGATACAGATCGCTCGATTTTGAGAGCCCTTTGAGCGTTTTCACAAAACGCCACGCGTTTCCACAGCTCACCACAGCTCACGGTTCCGGGTCAGGGGCGTCGACCCTGTTTTTATGAGCAAGTAGCTACTAGTAACAAGAAGTCTTTCAGATCTTTCTCTCCCTCTCTCCACTCTTTAGTGAGTTGAAGTGATGTCCGACCCCCCGCTTTTTTCAGCGATCTTGCGTGGGGATGCAAATCAAAGGTCGCTAGGCGCCCACGGCCCCACTGATCCGTGGAATGTTCAGCCAATTCAGCGGCAGAAACCACCGAGGTGGTATATCCTTTGTTCACGGTCTGTGGAAGCATCACTGGATATGTGGCCATCTTGGCTTTTCGCGGTTATTTCCGCTCCATTGGAATCCTCGAGGCCGGCTTTGTACGTACGTACACCCTCACCGGCCTCATCATCGTCGTTTTTTTGTTCGTTTGTCGTGCTGGGTGACATGTCCTCCCTTGCGGTGGAGTGGACATGGAAATCAAAAAGAAACAATTAGATGCTTAACAAACCGACTACACATACGCCACAACAAAAAGATACATGGTGATTTGATGTCATTTGTGTTCAGTTTGGTTTTTGATGTTGTTACGTTGTTGTTTTGTAGCTAAAAAAGGCTATATCGGTGTCTTACAGGATGCTTGTTTCCTTTTTGACTATCCCTCACGTTTCACGTTTCAGGCGGCCACTCGGGGTCCTGGGGTCCTGGGGTCCAGGCACCGGAACAAGACGAATCCGCCCCCCGTGGGTGTCACAACCGCGGCCCGTTTTGGCAGGGCCTGACTGTCGGCCTGTGATGCAAAGAAGAAAAAAACACTCGCAAGAAAACAACATCTAAACATAAGTTTTTGATATCTTCGGATGGTGATCAGTGTGAACCTGACACTTCCCTGCTCTCTTTTGCAGCTCTCCATTTGATTCCATCAGGATCAGTTGCGGTCCATCAGCTTTGACCACACCAGAAGCCATTGCTGCGATGTGGGCCACAGTGACCATGGCCGGACCATCATGTGTGACAGAGACTTGGCCTTTTGAAGAACGTGCCGGGTTATTTGCTCAGTTTTTTGCCGTTTTTTGCACAGGTTCGCCGAACAAAGAGTGGTCTGATGGAACTGCAGCTGGAGTGATCGCAGAACTTTTCACCAGCAGAGGGTAATTTGCCAACTTGTATCAAGAAAACTCGGGTATCCTGCATGTAGTCACCAGTAACAAGTGCCGCTCTTTTTTTTAGCTGGTGAAAGCTGAGAGGTGCCGCTACAAGGTCCTAATGGCTCTGGCGAATTTGGTTTGTTGTGGAATGGCTCGGTCGTTCCGTGAGTGAGTTGGGGAGATGGACGTTCCAGGATTGGACCCAGTGAAAGGGCACCAAAAAGGCTATGAGAAGACCCCCCCAGTGAAAAGCACCAAGTTCATCCAAGTGTTCAATTGATTCGCGAAAGAAAACATGTTTTACATGCATGTAGAAACCATTTGAATATTACATGGAACATCTGAAGATGAACACCTGACATGGAACATTTGAATAAATATGAATATGTAGGAATGTACACATGGAACATTTGAACATGTTTCATTGGTTTTCACATGACTTTTATATATGTATAATCGGATTGTTCCAACTGGATGCGAACCTGATACCGACGCCTTGCCTATTGGGTCTTAGAGTCTTAAAGTATCTCCACGTGGCTGCCGCTTCACCATTTCATCTATGATCACAGACCTCAGATGGCCTCAAATCCCTTGGTCTCATGGCATTTCGCCATGGGATTTCTTCCAGGATCATAGATGAGATGGAATGAAATGGGATTTCTTCCATGATCATCCGTGAGGATTGCCATTTTCAACATGACACCTCAAATCCCTTGGTCACAAGTCGAGAAGAATCGAGACACGACCGACACGAGCGGGGAGGAGAAGTGGTGACGGCCTGCGTCTCGAGCTGGTTCGGCAGCCTGGAAGCCTTCGAACGATGCTGTCAGGGAGAGGTCTTGGAGGCTTTGGCCCCTTGGCTTAGCCACTTGAACGACTTCATCCGTGTAGAACTTGAAGTACTTCATGAGTCATGAAGGTGACACCGTAGTGATACATGATGATACATGATGATACATGTATGGATGGGTCATAAATGAGGCCAGGTAAATACATGTGCACTATTCCACACGTGGATGATTTGGGAACTTCAACTCATGCCTTCCACGACTCAAGACCGTCGAAGCGTATCTTTTTTCTCTTGACTGTCCCACCGAGTATCTAGTGACTCTGGTGGACTCTGGGCACAAGGTTTAGGAACATCCATGGAGATGGACTTGATGAATCTTTGGAGGCCTTAAGTGCTTTGGAGGCCTTGCATTTCCCAGCCTTTTTGAGAGTAACCCGGCTTTTCCCATGCGCCAGCGTCTTCTGGGTGACCCTAAATCCATAGCATCCGGAGAATGGTGTCTTCTGGGGATTCATCTCCCTGATGGTGGGGTCCCAAATTCCACAAACAGTCCAGGGCTTCGCGCTGACATCTTCTCACACACCACCAAAAAAGTCTGTCGTACTATGAAGATGTCCCAATTTCCTTGGAACTCTTGCTGAAAACCCGTTCTCATTCTCCTTTTTTGGGCAGGTCTGCGACTTGCGCTACTCTGTCTTCACGCGCAGCTGGACCATTTGTATCGCCAGCCCAGTCTTATGGGCCTCCCTGGACTTAGCTGCGACCTGGGTGGCCATCGGTGTGTGGTCCAAAGCCATCGCTTGGCTCCTCGACTCTGGGCGCAAAGAACAGCCGAGTCCCTGAGCATCCTCGGTGCGTGGTCACCGGTCAGAGGAGGGCTGAGGTGTTCGTTTGTTCTTTTGGTTCCGATGCGGTGCATGTTTGGGCTTGTGCAAAAAAGCCGGATTCGGGTGGATGATGCAAGAATTGTTTATATATATATATGTTTTTGTGTAAGTATGCAATTGCTGGTTTTGATCTCATTTATTAAATATATATATATATCATGATATATCACGATATATATATATATCGTAATTTATCAGAAGGGGTGGCCATGGGGCCTGAGTTTTTGGTTTTCTGAATTTGTAAACAACTTTTCACAAATACAATCAACATCACAAAAAAAAAGTAGAATCAAAACTACAAAAAACGTTGAATAATTTGCAGTAAAAAAACAAAAACTAGAAAAACAAAACAAAACCTTGGGAAAACCAATAACAACCTAGAAAAACAAACACCTTGGGAAAACACACAAAAAACAATTCTGAGAGACTCTTGGCTGGATCCCCTTTCCTCAAGACTTCCCCAGATGTTTTTTTTGGTTTTCCCAAGGTTATTTTTTTTGTTTTTTCTTTCTTAAGAGGGGGGTCCAGCCAAGAGTCTCTCAGACTTTTTTACCCAAGTTTTTTGTTTTTTTGGTTTAGCATCTGAGCCTACTTCTCACCTCAAGGCATTTGTTCTTGTTTCTTACATCTGAAACCGTTTGAGCTCAACACTCCCTTTGTCCTTGTCCAAATCTCTATATACAAGTCTGCTTGCATTAACTGCTGACTGGTATCAATGTGGTTGCCACTTGCATTTCCAAACAGCTTGACATGCACTTGCGATGACACTGTCCTTTACATGAAACTGTTGGGAATCTTTGCAAGCGTAATTATGTGCTTTTTGATGTTGTTTCTGCTGTCTAATTTCAAAGTCTCCTCGGTTGACGCATTTTGTCGCTCAAGCTTTTTACATCTTCGTCATCTTTGTGTCTTGTTGGCTTTTCCTCTGTGTCCACATGGCTGATCTGGAATTGGGCCGCGGTGATGGGTTCAATCGTGATCTCGGCGGACAAGACGGCGCCCTTACCTTCGCCGAAGCCCTGGGCCAGGTCAATTGCCAGAAGCTCGTGGGACTTCCTATTTAGGTCAATCTCTGTGTTATTGCTATTTGGTTCAACCTTCAAGCATGTGAGCCTAAGTCTCACCTAAAGGCATATGTTCTTTGCTCTTACAATGAAAGCGTCTGAGCCCAACACTCCCTTTGTCCTTGTCGAAATCTCCATGTACAAGTCTGTGCATTAACTTCTGATTGGTATCAATGTGGTTGCCAATTGCATGTCCAATCAGCTTGACATGAAACTGTAATGACACCTTCCAATTTACATGAAACTGTTGTGAATCTGTGTGAGCTGTAGTTCTAATTCAATGCTTGTTGCATTTGCTTCGGCTTTGTAATTTCGAAGCCTCCTCGACTTGTGCATCTTGTAGCTCAAGCGTTTTACATCTTATTCTGCCGAACTTCTAATTTTAATTCCAATTCCTTTCTATTTCAGCTCTCATCTAATTTCAAATAGGTTATAGTTATAGTTCAATACAAATTTAGTTGAAATTCGGTTTTAATTCAGTTCCATCTTAGCTCAAATCTAACTTAATTCTACCTAATTCTATTCTAGCTCTAGTCTATTTAGTTTAAGAAAACACATGCTACAAAACCCTGTCTTTTTACAGTATTTTTTGCACTGGAGTGCTGGGAACAAGGCAACAACTATTGTTTGGAGTAAACAGATAGATTTATTTATTTACAGTAATCATTGGAGATAATATATAGACATATTAAGAATGTTTTATGTGCACGCTTCTAATTCAAGAGCTTCCCTCTAGATCTCTGGGGATGATCATTTCTACAATAAAAAATATATAAAAACTTTCATTTCAAAAGCTTTCCTCTAGATCTCTGCAAATGGTCATGTCAATTTAAACATGCTATATATCAATAAACAAATTATTCTTTCAAGAGCTTTCCTTGCATGAAAACACACATATATGGGATTTCAACTCGCAGAAATCTAGAAGAAAGCTTTTAACATACAAGGTTTCTATATAGTGATTAAATCTAAAAATGATTATCTGCAGAGATCTATAGAGAATATTTTGTAACATAAAAGCGTCTATATACAACCTTTCCAAATCTAAGCATAATTATAAGCAGAGGTCTAGAGGACAATTGTTAAAATAAACACTTTTATGGCCTGCTTTGTTCCTTTGTCTAGTTCAAAACCATCTGAATGACTGATTGCTGCTTCCAAAACAATAACATGACCCTGACTCAGGAATACATAATATATTTGTTCATATAGACAGAGCAGGAATAGATTATATGTGTGTTTATATGGAGAGGGGCTGCCACTGAAGCATTTACCTAAAATTTTGGAAAAACCAAAACCCAGGCCCCGTGACCACCCGCTCTCTAATTTATATTGATATATCATTTGATATCATTTGGTTGGTGATGAAGTTCAGTCTGCTTGGGATGAAGGGCTGTTACGGCTGCGAGGTTGTGGGAGAACACCGAAGATCACGACCAGCAATCGCTCATCACGCAGATCATAGTAGCCGGTTCTGTTGTTTCCTGCCATCGGACCGGATTCCAGCAACGTTTGGTTTTCTGATGTAATTGTTTTTGTTCAATCAACAGTTCAGTCAAAAAGCTTTCAATCTTGACCCTAATGATGTTGATCAACGATGGTTTATATAATCAGTGGTCGGTGGTCGCCAAGTTTTGAGACAAACTTCAAGAAACAACAAAAACATGATATTTTTGTTCAATGTTTTTTTTTTTTTTCCGACCGTGTCTCAACTTGGCACAGATCGAACACGCGTTTATTTTTTTCAGGGGAAAGGAGTGTTACGATGTGCTAGCAGCTATGATATGGTCCACGTGATTTGTGGATGAATTCTGCCCAAACCCCGGAGCGTCCCCTCCTATGGGACTGGAATCATTACATCTACCCCATATAGAAAAGGATCCATGGTCCATGGTGGCGTAACTCTGCCATACCAGCCCAGGATGACTTCTCTTGTTGGTTGTTGCTGAATCCACTCTTTGTGGACTACGTGGTCTTCTTGTCGCGGCGCTACTCAAAAGAGGCCAAGCCTTTTCGAAGAGAGCTGCTTCTCAATTTGCCACTTCGGCTTGAAAACTGCGACCCCTCCCACAACAAGGGCTCTGTTGAGTTGGGGTGGAACTGGTTCCTCCTCTTTCACCTCGTTTTCCTTCCCAGAGAGGCGTTGGAGCTCCAAAAAAGCCCTGCGCAGCGTTCTTCTCCGTGCCCAGCAAGTCGGAGAGTAGCATCCACACCCTCCCCAGATGTTTGGTCGAAGATCAGATGAACAGAACCCATCCAGGTCACCCGACGAAACGATGTTCTGAGTCGACGAAAACATGAGCTACACGGAAGGCCCGACGAAACAGAGTTCTCCGGACGAGCGGCGGGCTGCGGGTTAGACACTATGTACTCGTAATGTTTCATGGGTGTGTAGCTCAAATAGGAAGACCTCCCAGTTCAACCCCCCGGAAAGGGGAAAATAGACCAGTCTACCCAGCCAGGGCCAGGAGGTCTCCCTATATTGAAGTCACTTAAAATACGCACTCAAAAAAGCAACACACACTTGGCCCGACTTTGTGGTCTGCACATGGACATGAGTCTAGAGCTAAGCCGATGGTTGAGCGAGGCTCACCTCGAGGAGAGTTTCTCCCTCCACAATGGTTTGTTTTCTACATTTCTCATGTTTCAGATCGTCACAGCAAATCCACTTCAAAAACATCGGTGAACTGTATGACTCTGTCACACTGCATACTAGGTCATTCCATATCATTTCTCTCAGCCAGGAATCACAAAGGGGTGCCGAACTTGGGAGGAAGGCGGGGTGCCCATTATTGACTGACTGGATGGGACTAAACACCACCCCTTTGCAACTCCAGCATTTCTTTGCGTGAGTCCCTTCATGGGGCCAGGTTGATGCATATGTTGGACATCCGATTCAGCCCAACAGACTCCAAAACCCATTTGCTTAGAATCGGGGAGAAAGTCCTGCAACAGACACAAAACCCAAGGATTCCCAAGGTGTCCTGAAACGAACTTCTCCTTGAGCAGTAGCGGTATGGCTGACGCAACCCTTTTTTTGCCGCAGCCAAAGCTTACCAAGGCAAGTGATGCTGATGTCGATGCCTCTACTGGGTCTCATTGTGGGATGCCTGGGCTTACAAAAACTAAAAACGCATTGCTTGTTTCTCTTAGCTTATAACTTTTAAATATAACGAGGGCATAATCATCAAGCCGGAACTCCATGTCCAGAACCGATCTGCAGCTAGGATTCTACCTGATCTTGTTTCTGTGGAAGCTGCCACCAGAGATTCAATCGGTCATCTTCGCTGGCTTTTTGCTTTTGCTCACTACCTGTTCCTTCCTCATCAAGGCTTTATGGCCCCAACCCCCTCCATCCAGGGCGTGCGGCGTATCGGAGGGCCATAGCTTGTGATGTCAAAAAGGGCGTGCAGCGGCTGGGTGTGGGGGGCCGGCTTTGAAAGTCGAAAGCCATGGTGTAAGCCATGGTTGTAAGTCCTTGAAACCATAAGCCAACACCGTGAAGAGGTACAAGAGTCCTGGCAGTAAAGCTTGATGCCAACACCGTGAACGATCAACAACATTTGATTGTCAATATACATATATGTATTCCATTTACCCATGTATACATAACTCTTCCAGTCCCTTGCTGGGACAGTTCCGTCACCTCCCGAGCGGTACAAATGGCAGACCCAACCATGAGCAACAGCTTGTTGTTTTCGCCATTTGGCGAGAAGACTTTGCACACCAAATACCATTCTTAGACACTCCATGTGTGGAACATCTGCCTCTCAAGTAGGCCTCTTTTCAATCAAAGCCAGTCCATGCCAGTCCTGTCTGTATATCTGTGAATGCAAAAACCGACGCAGTGGAGATCCAGGTACCTGGACCAGGGCTGCGAGGTTGGTTGAAGTCTTTGGAACTGGTTTCCTATATTTTATCGCAGTCTTTGGCGTTCTTCAACAAACCCTATACCTGGATCCACAGTCTCAGCGAACACTTCAGTCACTTTCTTCCACGCATGGAAGGCTTGGCGAAGTGTCGGTCACGAATGGGCGCACCTTCTTGCGAGGACGGGGAGCCTTTGTTCGCAGCAGGTTGTGTGTGGGGACCGCTTTGGAACGGTTTTGTATGGTTTTGTCGTGCTGCCGACCTGAAAATGGAGATGTCAACACACAAAACCCTAAAGCATCCTATAGAGCCCTTTTTCAAGCAGCTTCACTTCGGCGCCGAAAGAGTTCCCTTTCTTCGAATCATGTCCAGTTTGGCCAGCAAAGGTGGAGCGTTCCGGCGTTGGTTTGGGAAGCAAGCCGTGGAGATCTTAGCAATTCAAACCTGGGACGGCCTCTTCATTTTTGTCGACGTGAAAACACGGTTTCACAGGTCATTGGACATCCCAAAAGTTCACGTGAGTCCTCCAACCTGGAAGGAATCTGCAGGCACTGTTTGCAGGCACGTTGTTTGATCCTATCAACAGAAAAAAACAGTCCAGTCCGACCCACATGTCGGGTTTCGAAAAAAAAATAATGATATCCGAACCGAGATGCGCGTGACATTGGTGACATGGCCTCAGATGGCCCAGCGATGGCCCATCGCTGGTGAAGGGTAGGAAGAAGGTGTGATCAACAAGAATGGAACATCTCCGATCATCTCCAGTATCATTTGGGACTGGACAAGATCAATCGGGGTATTTGAATGAAACATTGGGTCTTTGATGGTCATTAGGTGAAAAATCATAATGATGATTCGTGAAGTTAATGCGCAAGACAGATCACCACAATTGCAAGACAAAACTTCCTTCTTCGGATCTGGTTGCCTGGAGCGCCAGTCCCCCGTGCGCCATGGACACGTCTGGAGCTAGCTCGGGAACGTTCTCTGGCCACTCAGGACATGTGCCTCGGGTGAAGAACAGTGGCCAGTTTTTTGGGGGTTCGGGACAAGGCCAGCTGGGCATTCAAATGGTTGTGCATCCTTCCGAAAGTAGCTCTCCTGAAGGTACATAATCACTCTGCAAACCTCCCTAATTAAGCACCAAACCTATGAACTGAACAGAGCTATGTGGATCCTGATGATTTTTGGATTTGGAGCTTGGAGGCAGCCTTTTCCAATAAACAGTCATAATCAGCTCAGTCAGGACTTCAAAGTCACCGTGATTTTCCACCTGTTCTTGGCAGATTGAGAATGCTTGAAGCCGCCTGTGAGCGGTTTTTCAAATGAAGTGCGCACGTGTTTGTCTCGTTTTCTCGGATTGCAACTTTGCCATTGATGGCACGATGTATGGCCTTAGATCGGAACACTGGCCCCAGGTTCTGCTCCAGAGGTTTTCGTCTCTGGAGAATACAATCGATGGGGAAACACCTGGAATTAGTAGCAATGGCCTCCAACCTACTAGCGATGGCCTGCACCTAATAGCAATAGCCTCCAACCTACTAGCGATGGCCTGCACCTACTATCTCTGGGGAACACAAGCTGCCAGAAACTGCCGTCTCTCAAGTTTCCTTCAGAAGGCCTTCCCCAGAACTCTGCCACCTGGGGTCTTGCACCCGATGGGACACATCATATATCATCAATTATTGTGAATTTCGAACCTTTCGGTCACTGAGGAACCAGTCTTGACCCACTCAGGTGTGTTCACGTCCGAAGCCACGAGTGTACGAGGCCGCAAGGGTGGTGTAGGGTGGGTCACCCGTGACCTGAGCCATAGAAGCAGTGAGGACACTGCAGGGCGAGGCGCCCGACCGTTCGTACCAACCTTCAGGTGAGCTGTGAGTGGAAAACGCACGCGGCTGTGCGAGGGAAGGAGGATCTTTTGTTGCTACCTTTGTGTCAATCACATTGGTAGCGGAGCTACCGCTAAAGCTCCAGACAACACCTGACCCTTGTGCTTGGTTGTTGTTGACTGCGTGGTTGCGTGAGTTGGGTTGATTCATTGGTTGGCCGCAAGGCAGTCGACAGGTTGCACATTGATTTGGTGGTGTTGTCACAGAGTTGTTGAGCTGCGGTTTCCAGGGAGGAAACAGCCCAATGCCACCGGAAGGTGATTCAGCAGGCTCCAGTTCCTCCTCAGGAGGATTGAGCAATCTCCCATGGAGCCAGGTCCCATCTTTCAAGCCTGGGGAGACAGACCTCACTGAATGGTCGCGGAAAGTAGAGTTCCTGGCGTCACTATGGCCTCCAGAACAACTACACCTGCTTGCCCCACGAGTTGCACTGCAATGTGAGGGATCAGCCTTTCAGAGAGTTGCAAGGCTGGACCCAACAAAGCTGCGTGTTGGAAGTTTGGAGGGAGTGAGGGCCATTGTGGAGGCCCTTGGAGGGATTTGGGGAAATTCCTGATTGGAGGACAAGTTTGAAAGGTTTGAGCGTGCAATATACAGCACGGTCCAAAGAGCCGACGAGACCCATGAGAGCTATCTAGCTCGGCACGATCATCAATTCGAAGAGTTGCTGAGCATGAAGGTCGGCATGGATGAGTTTCGCGCATACATCTTGCTTCGCAACTCAGCCCTGAGCTCAGAAGACAAGAAGAGACTGATTGTTGAATCGCAGGGTTCACTGGAGTACAGAGAGGTGGTATCCAATCTGAAGCTCCTGGGGAGTCGATTCTTCCATGAGGTCCACTCCAGCGGAAAACAGAACAATCCAAGGACCAAAACCTATGAGGCCAATGCGTTCATTGCTCAAGAAGCTGATGGTCACGACCAAGCACCCGACGAGCCCACCTACAATCTCGATGATTGGACCGAGGAAGAATGGATTGAGAGTCTTGCAAATGATGGTGACGAGGACGCCGCCATGATCATGGAGTATGAATCCACAATGTTGGACGCAGTGCAAGACAACGAAGATCTAGCATTGACACAATCATCATACATGGATGCCCGTCGCCGCCTGTCAGAGCGCTTCAAAAGCCGTGGGTTCTGGCCAACAAGTCAGAACAAAGGCAAAGGAAAAGGGAAAGGGGGTGAAAAAGGAAAGCGATCCCCCTACTCCTCAAAGTTTTCTGGCAATAGAAAGAGCCTCCAGCAGAGGATCATGGAGAGCAGCTGCAGGATTTGTGGCCGAAAAGGCCATTGGAAGGCTGAATGCCCACAACGTGGATCTCAGTCGGTCCTATCGACAGCTGTTGCTCCTACACTGGTGACAGTGAATGATGAGCAGGACGCGCTGCCACTGGAGTTCATGGATTTGCCAGAGCTGACCGAAGAGACGCTCAACGCCACTCAAGAGAATACGAAACAAGTTTTGTGTGTTTGTGAATCAAGGGACACCGGTGTTCTGAAGGGTTTGTGGGAGACCAATGAAGGGGAAATCATTGATTTAGCCCACAAAGGGGAAATGATCACCGAGTGTGAGAATTTTGATGTCAGGACTAGCTTGCCAGAGAGTGCGTTTGCTAGCACCGCCCAATCACCTGAAGCCAAGTCGATGCATGACACCGAAGCCAGTGCATTCTCGAGCTTTTCAACTCGCGATGCCCTGGGAATCGTAGATACAGGCGCTACTAAGACCGTCATAGGAAGCGGTTTCGTAGCCAATCTCCTAGCCGCACTAAGGCCAGAGGTTCGGAAGCAGGTCCAAAGGTGTCGTTGTTCAGTGGTTTTTCGGTTTGGGAATCAAGGGACACTTGAAAGCAAGCATGCACTCGTTGTCCCAATCGGACCGCTGAAGCTCAAGATTGCCATAGTGCCAGGCCAGACACCTTTCCTGCTGTCGAATACTCTGCTCCGAGCCATCGGAGCCACCGTAGATATAGCTGGTGAAGTGATCAAAAGCACTCTCTTGAAGCGCAACATTCCAATTCAGCTGAATGCCAAGGGTTTGTTTTTAGTTGATTTAAATGATCTGATCACACCCACCAGTCAAGATGCCGAAGCTGAACCTGCCGAGACCTTCGCCACTTTGAATTGCAAAAGCTTGCCAAGTGTCTCTGTCCAGAAGCCTGGACAAATGCAGTCGGAAACCAAGACCATGATGAAACAGAACGTTCAGGTGAGGACAGAACAAGCAGAATCCAACAGTTCGAAGCCGCCATGCCCGAATTAACAAAGACCCATACGAACACAAAGAAACCAAACGAACGTCCGAGTGTTCGCGGGGGTGAGAAAGTCTCATTCGAATCGGTTCCAGGGGGGGTCCAACCCGGTGTCATCCGTTTTGGGTTCAAGACCGGATCTGTGCAATCACACACGTGTGACCATCCCATTCGTTCACCTGTGCCGCATCACTATCATGCCGACCTCCGAAGCAGCCGCTCTGAGTGCCCGCATGGCACGTGTCATGGGGGAAGCAAAGAAGGAAGAAGCCCTCGATCAGCTCGAAGCCTTCAAGCTCCTATCACTGGACGAAATGGGCCAAGCCAAGATCGATTTCGGATCAGCCCATCTCGGTCGGACCTACTCGGAGATGTGGGAA